TGAGACTGCAGATATCGAGTCTTTTTCGAATGAAGGCAAAACTCTCAAATAAGCTGACGATAAGGTTCGAACTGAAAATCTTAATCTTCACTGCTCCATATTCTACTTACTGGGCCACTAGAGCTGTTCACCGCTGATACTTAACTATTATTTTATCAATATTTAAGAGTACATTGCTTGCTAGCATTATATCTTCTCAGACAAGTATTTAAGATTCGTCTGAAAGGCTAGACAAGGTTACAGATTTCGTCTGACAATCAGACAAGGAGCCAGGACCCGGTCTTGACATCAGACGGGTCATTTTACCAAAGTTAGCCCTGTTTGTCAACCTTCTCGGTTGACTCGCCGTTGCTTCGTTGTTATTTGCTTCGTTTACAGTTCGATGTTCCGACACATCAGAAGCGTTAAGTTACTTGTTTTCAACACTATTCAGTAAGCATACGAGCTTGTCTAGTCACCACCAGGTCTTCCATTCTAGTCACCACCATGGCAAATAGCTGCACATCATATGCATGTGCATCTGGGGGGACCAGTGCCCCGTCTATGCAGGGGAAGGGAGGGAAACCTTTGCGACCATAACAACGGAAGTGTACAGACAGGCACTACACTATACAGACCGATCCAATACAATATCAGGTCAGGAAGACGACATGTGCATCAGCAAGCCAGAACATACCAGGTCAATGTGTACTGCAGCAGCAGGGTAACTGATATTTTGCAAATTCTCAGAAAGGAGTGTGCTTGCTTGGTGCTACATGAAAGCCTTACTGTTTTCATGGCCCACAAACAGCCCACTAAAAGCCTATTCGAAGCATATTTGAGTTTCCAAAGTACAGGCTGCGGGGCTGTACATATCCTTCACGATCCAGCAACTGCCTGCACCCCTTCACACCCAGATACAGCAGCATCTTCAACTCAGCCATGTCCCATGGTAGCGCCCTCAACCGCCAACACCCATCCAAGATGAGACACCTTAGTCCAGCCAGCCGTACAAAGTCGGGAGGGAGCGAGTCGATGAGGGTGGATGCAAGATCGAGCTCCGTCAGGCATGAGAGGCTAGTGAGAGAAGCAGGGACCCGTTCCAACGCCTTGCAACCCACCAGGTTCAATTTGCGCAGCCTGGGTAAGGCACCGATGCCCTCCGGGATGTGTGTGAGCTTGCATGCATGAACTTCCAACTGCGCCAGCTCCTGAAGCTGCGTAAAGCTCTCTGGCAGCTCACACAGTTCCTCTGCACCGTGTACCTGCAGCTCTCTCAGCTGGTGCAAGGCGGGGCCGATACTCTCGGGAAGAGAGGGAATCTTGCCAGCATGATAGATCGCCAAGGTGTGCAGCTGGGAAAGGGGTGCCAGCGGGAATGGAAGCTTGGTTGCAGCGTCTTTTAAAACCAGCTCCAAATGCTTCAGATTTGACAGGCTTTCACTGAATTCCAGTGATTGGAAGACATGAACCCGAGATAGCTTCAGCTTCCTCAGATTTGGCAGCATTGGGATTGTCAGCAGAGGGGCAGTGCTGTTCCTGCTCGCCAGGCTCAGCTTCTCAAGAGAGGGCGGCAGAAATTGGACGGATTCAGGCAGCAACAGGCAGTCGGTAATCTCGAGGTGTTTGAGCCGTGTGAGTCGGTCCAGACGAATGACAAAAATGAACGGTCAGGATCTGGAGACACTGGAGGGCTGAAAGAGATGCAGGCAGGTGGCTTAACTGCTCGCATGAGGCAATGTGGAGCTGCTTTAAGCGGCTTAGACTCCCCATGTCCTCTGGAAGCATCTCAATCTTGCACTGATTCAGCTCAAGCCTGGTTAGCGATCTCAGCTGGGTGAACGACGGCGGGAGTGGCTGTTTCCGAGAGTTGCCGTCCAGCAGAAGAGTATGCAGTTGCAGCAGCGCACCAATGTCTTTTGGAAGTATCAGCTGCTGCAGCCTCACGAGGCAGAGAGTGGTGAGGGCTGTGAGGCTGCAGAACCCTGCTGGCAGCTGCCAAATCCCCTCGCAGTCAAGAATGAACAGGGTCTCCAGGGATGTGAGTAGCCTGAAAGAATCTGGAAGGCTCTTCAGTGCAAGATTATCTAGAACCAGAGTTTTGAGGGCAGGAAGCTGCCCGAAATCCTCGGGCAGGTTGGAGAGCTTGCGGCAAGTGGAGATCGTCAAGCTCGTCAAGGAGCTCGGAAGACTCAGCTGCTCGGGTGGGTCTGATGTGGAGCTTTCCAGGAAGGTGGGTTGGCAAGATGAGTCGGGAAGTTTCTAAAGTTGTATCATTTCCAGCACCAAAGTCTTAAGCGCTGTCAGCTGGAAAAAATCCTCAGGTAGGCTCGAGAATGAGCAACATGAAGAAATTGTCAGGCTCTCCAAAGCGCTGAGATATATGAACTCGTCGGGCAGATGGGAAAAGTTTTTGCAGCTGCGAATGCTCAGTTCGCGAAGGTACGGAAGAGCATCCGCGATGTTTCCAGGAAGCTGCATGAGCTGGTTGGAGTCGGTAATAAGCAGCCGCTCGAGACGGTTGCACGGTACAAATTCTGACGGAATCGTGAGAGTAGATTCTAATGTCAGCAGCGGCAGTTGTGGGAGGACGAGAGCAGCAGCAGGTTGATCGGAGGGCGAAATCTGGGTTTCATCTGATATGGAAAGGCTGGCGATGCTCGGAAGGCGAAGGAGACCCGCCAATTGCCTCGCGTTGAGGTGATACGAGGTAATTCGGAGAGCTCTCAGAGACGAAAGGCTCGCGAGATGAGGTGATTCGAGCACTAATGGCGTTGTTAAGGTGAGGGAGTGTAAGTGCGCCAGTTGGAAAAAGGAAGGCGGAAGCTGCATGTCTTCCTGGAGACAAGGGAGCGAAAGCTGCTTCAGCTGCGTGCAACGCTGGAAGAGCCGATCCAGACCAGCTTCGGTTACCGGGTGGTTCAAGTCCTTCATGATCCCCAAGTTATTTAGTGTGATTCTCCTTCCCACGTGGAGAGACGTCAGCTTAGGGCACGACGACGCGAGGCGATCGAGGAAATCGTCGTTGATCGTCGCCACGCTGCCGTCGCTCAGATGCAGACGGGTCAGATTCGGGAAGCAAGCGACAGCCGTGGCGACGGTTTGAAGAGGAACATCGAGGTTGGGTCGTACGGAAAGTGTGGAGACGGAGAGCTGAGCGAGTCGCCGCCAGCGACGGCAGACTGACGCGATGAGGAGATGGTAACCCGCGGAGTTTGCGGAGAGTTGATTCGATGGCGCAAAGTGTGGCTGGTGTATCGGAGGATTGAATCCAGGCGCGCGGTGCGGATGGAGGTACCTGGGCTTGTGGAGCAAGGAGGTCCATAGAGCGTCGCTCTCGACTATGCGGGGGCCGGAATTCGCGGAGTGCCATAGGATTTGGATGAGAAGGTCGTCGGGGAGGCGGTGGATGTGTGCGCGAGGGTCCATAACAACTCGAGCTTCAGGACCCACGAGCGTCCTGATTGGTAAGGTGGGGAATGGATGAACTTCTACTCCTCTTCACTTCTTTTTATGGTCGAGCGTGGAATGGGAACCTTGGATCAACCACGTGAGGGGCGGTGTCTGGCTGCAAGGGGTCCGCGAAACTCCTAGTTCGCTGCGGACCAAGCGGTCCAGTCCGCGGACGAGGGAGGACCAGCTGTGAGCCAGCTGTGGTTACCACATAACAAGATGATGGTCCGCTTTGGTCCGAGCCGACCTGCAGCCCTCCTAGGCAAAATTGCAGGGATGATCTGGTCCGTCAAAGCAGCCCGCAAGAATCGTGCGAGACCTGGTTCGGGCCTGGTTCATCGGACGAGCACTCGACCAATGTCAAAAACTTTCTGCTCAAATCATAGGCTTTCGCTTAGGTTTCACTGCGGTAAAAAACGGTGGTGATGCCCCAACAATATCTAGCTATCGTGAAAAGCCACCTGAGGGCGTGTAACATCGGCAACTCCAAAATTCGGCCAGAATCCGTCGGGCCGTTTTTGCGAAAGTAACCAGTCCACGACTTCGTAATTCGAGTCGCGATAGTCGTCAATCAAAAATAACGAATTTGATGGCCTTCTAAAAATTCGACACGAAAACGACGCCGAGTCGACTCCAAAACGGCCACGAACCCAGCCCGACGTTGCGACACTGACTGGCGGCGTCGCACACCCTCCTTGCGACGATAACGACGTCGGAACCATAAGTGCGAATTTCTCGCCCACTTTGAACAATGCATTTTTACAAGTGTCCGGAACCGGCCAGCAAATCGGCCTGCAAACTTGTAGAATTCGCGCTTTTGTAATTGGTGGCTGTATCGGAGTCGACTCGGATTCGGCCACCAAGTCGAATTTTGCGAAAAAAAAATATGACGACCCTATGGTCGTAAAGAAACCGGACCCCATTTTCGGACTTGTGCGGGGATTTTACACGCCCTAGTTCGTATGTTGATCTTGTTGATCTGTGTGTGATGCGCTCGATCAAGGTAGGTAGGCTCCACGCGACTCCTGATCTTCTTATCTTCTCGATCAGTATGGACAAAGTAGATTCTGGAAAACGCTGCAGCGATTTCGGCCAATTCTGACGCTGCAGACGACGTGCTTTCTCGGCTCGGATGAATTAAGTCCTTCTTTCCCGGCTCTAGATTCTATCGTTAACGTTCTATAGCTGGAGTGCATTTCAGACCGTTCGTGAAACCCACGCACTTATAACAGTGAACTACGCTTGTATCCTCATTCATTAGTAACCTACACAGACTTTGCGACAAAACCTCAAGCGCAGAGGTATCCTCATTATCCGGAAACATTGCTGACTGGGCAGCACTACCCACAACAATGTTAGAGCACTACATCAGAAGAGTTTTCGCGTCAATTTCGTTTAGACGAGGGTTGGCGGAAGCAGTGGCGCCAGCGAGAGCGGTAGCGAATGGTGGCAGCAGTAGCAGGGGTAGCGGCGAGATCCGTGCGGTGGATGCCGCTGGTGCCATCATGCCGTCCGCAGCAGCGCTGCTAACAACACATGCCGCACCAAACGCGGCCCCCGCTGCGGTGATGGGACGAGCGGCCCTTCTGGGGGCTCCTCGTGGCGCTGAACGGTCACGTGGCGGACGACTAGGTCCCGACGCTTTATCGGATTGTGGGATTGCAAGTACATCTGCTGCTAGAGCAGGCAGGGTTGAGGATTTTGGGGCGAGAGGAGGAGACGAGTTAGGAGGTAGAGAGGAGGGAAAGGGGGGAAGAAGGAGAGAGGATGGGGGAGAGGGAGAAGTGAGAGAGGAGGCGGGAGGGGGAGGATTGAGAGAGGACGGGGGAGGGGGAGGGGGAGGGGGAGGGGGAGGAGAGGCAGGAGGGAGACAAGGAGGGACGGACAGCGAGGCGGTGCTGTGGCATGTGAGCGAGGGGCGCGTTGCGCCAGGTACGACCATGTGCACGCGCTTTGCTCACAGCACTCTGCTGCTGCACGCACGCACCGCCCCTCCTGCACAAACCTTCTCTCCTGCAGTTCGCTCCCCTGTTCCCCCCTTAGTAGTCCCGCCATCTCGTCCCCACTCTCTCCCCATCCTTGTCTTTCAGTACCCCTCCTCACCATCACTCTCTTTCGTCTCCTAGGCATCAGCCCCTTCCTGCCCTCGTTGCCCCTTCCCCCTCGCACGCCCACCTGTTTTGCCCTCCTACCTTTGCCTTCCCGTTTCCTACAGGCCGTGCCCTCATCTCGCTGCATGTGCCCCGCACCATACCCACACCCTCCACGCATCCCTCCCCCGCCTCCTCTCCCTCCTCCTCGCCCTTTCCCCCACTTTCTGGGCGTGTGGCGAGGGATGAGGTGGGAGGGGAGGGCACAGCGGGGAATGGCGCGGCGGGGGAGGGCGTGCGCGTGCGAGTGAGGGGCAGCGCAGTGGACCTGGCGTCCATGAGAGGCCTCTTCCTCAGAGAGCGGGTGAGGCTGCTGTGTTGCATTGCAATCCATCAAGCTGTGGGTTCAGAGTGCTATTAGAGAAGTATACTGTTCTGTACCCCACGTCTGCCCCGCACGCAAGCGAGGGTTCTCTGCCCCGCATGCAAGCAAGTGTGCTCTGGCCCAAATGCGAGCGAGTGTTTCGAGTCCATCCTGCCTGCGGTTCCTGTTCTGCAACACACCCATCCACCTACTCTCCCTTCCCCCCTCCTCCCCCCCCACCCTGGTGCCTTTCTTCCCCTCCATCCGCACATCTCCATTCTCCCCTCGTGATTGGCAGGTCAGCTGGGGCCAGGAGTGGGTGGACCAATTGCGAGCCGACACGTGGATGCATGCTTTCAGCTTCACCGGAGCACAGCAGCAGGAGGCAGGCAGGGAGAGGCAGGGGTGGGATGAGGGTGCCGACAGGGGCTACAGCAATGCAGACGGGAGTGCAGTGCAGGAGGGAGAGAGTGCAGTTGGGGCAACTAACAGAGGTGGCACTGACGACGGTGCTGCTGACGTGTTCCAGGTGTTGCTCGATGCCAGCCATGGCACCGCTGAGGTGAGGCCGGGCACAGGGTTGGTCAGGGGACAGGGTTGGTCAAGGGGTATGGTTGGTCAGGGGGCAGGGTTGGTCAGGGGGCAGGGTTGGTCAGGGGACAGGGTTGGTCAGAGGACAGGGTTGGTCAGGGGACAGGGTTGGTCAGGGGACAGGGTTGGTCAGGGGACAGGGTTGGTCAGGGGACAGGGTTGACCAGGGGACAGGGTGGCAAGGGGACAGGTTTGGCAAGGGGACAGGTTTGGAAAGGGGACAGGTTTGGCAAGGGGTCAGGTTTGGCAAGGGGTCAGGTTTGGCAAGGGGTCAGGTTTGGCAAGAGGTCAGGTTTGGCAAGGGGTCAGGTTTGACAAGGGGTCAGGGTTCTATGGCTGACCAGGTGACAGGGCTGACCAGGGGACAGGGTTGGTAAGGGGACAGGGTTGGTCAGGGGACAGGGTTGGTCAGGGGACAGGGTTGGTCAATGGCAGTCTGTGTCTGCTTCTTGTCCCACTGTTAGGTATATGCATGTTACGTTCACTCATGCGTGTGTGTATGCATGCATGTATGTGAGAGTGTCTCTGTGTGTGTGCTTGCGTGCGTGTGCGTACGCGTGTGTGTATATGCATGTATGTCTAGGGTTTAGGGTCACATGCCTGCCACTACATGTGCCCACTATTGCCAGGTGCTAGTGGAGCTGCCTCTCAGTGCACATGCAGGCTCACAACCCGTTTTTGAGGTGCCTAAAAAAGAAACTCCAATGTTTGCATGTGCCCATTATTGGCAGGCGCTAGTGGAGCTGCCTGTCCGTGCGCACGCAGGCTCACAACCCTCGTGGCTGCTTTTGAAACTTCTCAAAACCAACATGTTTTCACGTCTGCGCATGCCCGTGCCTTCCGATGTGTGCCACTGCCTGTGCCCATTATTGGCAGGTGCTTGTGGAGCTGCCTGTCCGTGCACACGCAGGCGCACAGCCACGGTGGGTGCTAGTCAAGCTGCTTCTCACTGTTGCCGACCAGGCGTCCAATCGCCTCCACATCTGTGTGCCTGCTGCATTCAATTCGAGTGTCAAATTGTGCTGATGTTTCTACCGCTTGTGCAGCTCAATGAGTGTAATCAAGGCTTCAGCAGCATGTACTGTTTTGACTCGTCCTGTCAAATGGTTTAGCGGAGACACAGTGGCATTTGTAGCTTTGCGAGCAAGCCTTTGCAACATACCGAAATGGTCTAGCCATCTGACATACACACAGGTTGGTTGGCCTGAATGATTAAGCATTCTTTTTTTTGTATCTGTTACGTGTGCAATGGAACGAGATAGTGAGGATTGCACTAGATGTAAGGATTTACAAATGAGAAGATGCGAACAAGAATGAATGACTAAGGAATGGAAGTGATGCAAATATGCAACCCTACAAATGTGTACCCCATATAGGCTACCCCACTATAGCCTACACAATATTATAATTTGACACACCCCCATAGGCAAAGTGGGGGAGAACAAGGGGTCACAAGACCAGTCAAGCAAAGCAGACAAAGCTCAGGGTGGATCACAACGTCACCACACAGTCCGGGCACAAGGTCAAGGCCACAAGGCTAGTTCACATGCAGGAGTACACAAATATATATATAAGGCTAAACAAGCAAGAGCAGGTATATAAATATATATATATATAAATATATACATATGTAAGAGTACAAGCAAGGTCAAGGGGTGAGCAAGTGAGGCAAGACAGACACAAGACCCAACTGAGTGCAGAAGCGCTGATGATGACAAGGCGGAAGTGCCTTGGTGAAAACATCAGCAGTGTTGGCCTCAGAGGCCACGTACGCAAGACGCAACTGACCACGCTGCTGCAACTCACGAGCAAGAAAGTAGCGGAGAGCAATGTGCTTCGTTCTGTGCTTCAGGCGCTGCTCCCGACACAAGGCTAGCATGGCCTTGTTGTCTATGTACAGCACTGGAGGAGAACGAGGCGGCTCTCCGAGGTCAGTCAGCAGGTAGGTGAGCCAGCGAAGCTCCTGTGCAGCCATGGCCCCGGCGTAGATCTCAGCCTCACAACTGGAGCCGAGAACAGAAGACGAGCGAGTAGCCCGCCACGAAACAGAGCCAGAACCAAGGCCGAAGGAGTAACCCTGTGACGACCGCTGCGTAGCCTGGTCGTCAGCCCAAGAAGCGTCCGCGTGCCCACTGAGGACCACTGCACTACGCCCTCCAAGCACTAGCCCCATGCCCGACGTACTGCACAAGTAGCGCAACACCCTCTTCGCTTCAGCCATGTGCTCCGGTTTGTGTCTCCCAGGAGCAACATAGCGTGCAAGAATGCTAGAGGGTATGCAAGGTCAGGTCGTGTGCAGGTCATAAGGTACATGAGGCAGCCAACAAGCTCTGGGTACGCGCCACTCGACTCTACGGACTCATCCGAAGGCAGAGCTGAGAGCGAGTGGCGAGTAGACAAAGGAGTGGCCTGAGGCGAGGAGTACGTGAAGCCGAAGCGCTGAAGGACCTGCTGCACCATGTGTGACTGAGTCAAGGTAATGGTGTGGCGTGCTTTGTCCCGGGTGATCTGCAAGCCAAGGTAGCTGCGCAGTTCACCCAGGTCTGTGCACGTGTGTCTCTTCTGCAGCTCGGACTTCACGTGGGCGAGACCAGCAGTGCCAGCAGTGGCAAAGACCAAGTCGTCAACGTACACGAGGATGTAGAACGGCGGCACAGAGGTGTATGTGCGCAGAAACGACAGGTCAGAAGTAGAGGGAGCAAACCCAAGAGCCGCAAGCGTAGTCCTCAGTGTGTCGTGCCACTCGCGCGGTACCTGGCAAAGACCGTAGACTGGCCGTCGGAGGCTCCACTGGGTGCCAGGAGGGAAAGTCCCAGTGAAGCCAGGTGGACGGCGCAGCCAGATCTCCTCGTGCATGCTACCCTGCAGGAAAGCAGTGCTGAAGTCAAGGGAGTGAAGCTCGTAGTCACGCTGAGCGGCTATGTGTAGCAGCGCCCGAAGAGTGGTCATCTTCGGGATAGGAGAGAAGGTCTGAAAGTAGTCAACTCCCTGTCGCAGAATGAAGCCACGAGCCACGTACCGCGCCTTGAAGACAGGTGGAGAGCCCAGGCGGCCGCTTCACCCTGAAGATCCACATGCCACTGACGATGTTCTCCCCAGGAGGAGGAACCGCGTCAACGTAGGTGCCTCTGGACTTCCAGGTTGCCATCTGTGCGTCCATAGCTGCCTCCCACTGAGAGGAGTAGGGACCCTCTACGGCCTCCGCATAAGAGCGCGGAGTGGGGATGTCTAGTGCATCGGGGTCTCCCTCAGGGATAAGCAGTACGGACGCGAGATGAGGTGAAGCAGCAGCCACACACTGGAACTCCTCCTGCCTGTCCTCAAGAACGTCCGTGCCAAGAGCACACTCACCCCCGACGGACGGAGGACAGACAGACGCAGACTCAGCAACAAGACTAGCAGCGTAGTCTAGACGACAGCGAGCAGCAAAGTCGACGAGCTCAGCGACAAGAGCAGACGCAGCAGTGGACTCAAAAGAGGGGTTAGTGACGACAGTAACAAGGAGACGCGTGACGGTAGGACTGGCAGCACGAAGAGAGTCCGACTCCGGTTCGGCAAGTGCAGGAAGAGATGACTCAGGAGGAGAAGGCAAAGGGACACGCAGAGGAGCAGTGGACGGACGCAGAGACATCCGGTGCGTGCCAGGGACAGGAGGAGGACGCTGACGCGAACCGCGACCACTAGCGCGAGCAGCACGAACAGGGGACGCGGGACAAGACGCAGGCTCACGACGCTCAGCAAGACCTCTAGTAGGACCAGTGTAGGGAGAGGGAGCAGGCAGTGGGGAAGCGGGCGGTAACTCTGACTGTGACTGGACAAGCGGTGGACACTCTACAGGAGGAGAAGGACCAAGAACCTGCTGAAGGAGCGGAACAAATTACGGCCGAGGCTGCGCGGCGACTCCAGACACAGCAGGGACAGCACCAGCACCCTCAGCGGCAGCACCAGCGCCAACAGCACCTCCAGCTGCAGGACCTCCAGCAGTATCAGCAGCACCCGCAGCACGACCACCGCCAGGACTGACAGCAGCAGCCTCAGCGCCAACACCCTCAGCAGCTCTAGCTCCAGTCGTACCCGCAGGCCCAGCAGCTCCAGCACTCCTAGGGCGAGCACTTCCGGGACCAGCGGCACTAGCACCCTCAGCAGCCGAAGAAGCTCCAGCTCCAGCAGTACGCCTCCAGCGGCGGGCAAACCACTCGCGCAGCTCCTGTGGAGAGAGTGGCTCCCGCCGAGACAAAGCACCCGGAGAACCTTCAGGCCCAGCACCGCCAAACGCCACAAGAGCAGGTCCAGCGGCCGTTGGCTCTGCACCACCAGGCTCAGTAGCTCCAGACGCAGCACCCCCAGGCTCAGCAGCTCCTAACGTAGCACCCCCAGGCTCAGCACTCCCAGTCGTAGCACCCCCGGGCTCAGCACCCCCAGTCGCAGTACCCCCAGGCTCAACACCCCCAGACGTAGCACCCCCAGGCTCAGCACCCCCAGTCGCAGAAGCCCCAGACTCAGCACCCCCAGGCTCAGTACCCACGCGCGCAGCACCCCCAGAGTCAGCACCCCCAGGCTCAGCACCCGCAGCAGTACCAGAGTCACCAGCAACCTCGACCGGCTCGACTGCGTCTACCTGGGATACACTTGAAGGAGCAGGACCCTGAGGGGGGAGGGGGTCTACCTGGGGGGGACCTGGCACAAGGAAGTGCGGCGGGGGGGGGGAGGGAAGGAGTGCGGTAGGGGAAGAGACGGTAGTAGGGGACCGACTCGTCAAACGTGACGTCCTGGGAGGACCAAACACGACGAGAGGAGGGGTGGTAGAACCGCCACCCTGGTGCGTCAGGGGGGAAGCCAAGGAAGACACAGGGAGCAGCACGAGGGGACAGCTTGTCCGCAGACAAGTCGCGGACAAACGCCCGAGATCCCCAGACACGGAATGCAGACGCATCGCCGACCTTCCCCGTCCACAGCAAGGCTGGGGAGGTCTCCGGCCTGGAGACCCTGGGGTGAAGGTTGATCTGATGGGCCGCGTACGGAACCTCAAACGGCCACAGAAAATGGGGGGCAGCCGCATGCATCATGGACGTACGAGCGACGTCCATGACCATGCCAATGCGGCGCTCAGCAATCCCATTTTGCTGTGGAGAGTCCGGAACCGTAAAGGTCCGGCAGATGCCTCGCGCACCACAGTAGGCTCGCAAAAGGCCAGAGGAGAACTCTTCGCCTCGGTCAGAGTGCAGACGCAGAACAGGAAAGTCCGAGCCGAAGCTCCTCCTGAGCTGGAGAGGAGCTGCGCAGATCCAGTCGATCAGCACTGCAGTGACATCACCCTTGCTGCGCAAGGGGAAGACTGATGGTGTAACGCGAGTAGTCGTCAACCACCAGCAGGAAGTAGCTCTCGTGACCCTGTCCACCGACGCGGGCCGGGCTCCACACGTCCATGTGAAGCGTCTGCAGCCGGGCCTCTGTCGGGGGAAACTGAGAGGAGTGAGGGGCAGCCCGGAGCCGCCCCTCGACACAGGGGACACAAGAAGGACCGGGCCCCGAAGAAAGGGGAGGGAGGGACCGGGGGAGACCAGAGACAAGGACACGGGAAGCCATGCCTTGGAGACGAGGTAGGGAGGGGTGACCAAGACGGTGGTGCCACAAGGAGAGTCTCGTGAGACAGGAGGCGACGCGAGTAGGGGGCAGACTCAGGACCATACCTGGACGCTGCAGCAAACACCTGACCCGCCGCAGCTACCTCGCCAAAAGCAGGGACAGGAGAGGACCCAGTGGTCAGGGTGTAGAGGCTCGACCCCGGCCGACGCGAAAACGTGGCCAGGTACCGGCCCGTGCGTGCGTCTGAGCAGTGGGTCACCCACTGATTCGCAGGAGTAAACTGGTGAACTCCCGCATCCTGCAGGTCAGCACCACTCACCAAGTTCGTCGAGAACGA